TTTTTGTTTTTTTGAGACAGAGTCTCGCTTGTTGCCCAGCTAGAGTGAGTGCCCTGGCGTCAGCCTAGCTCACAGCAACCTCAAAACTCCTGGGCTCAAGCATCCTCCTGCCTCAGCCTCCTGATAGGCTGAGATAAGGCAGCCACCACATGCCTGGCTAATTTCTTTCTATATACATTAATTGCCAATTAATTTCTATCGATAGAGAGGACGGTCTCGCTCTTGCTCAGGCTGGTGACATCCTGACCTCGAGCAATCCACTGCCTCGCCTCCAGATGCTAGGATTACAGGCGTGAGCCACCGAGCCCGGCCCATGTATAACCTTGATCTCCTGCTTACAGTGCTGTCTGCTGGTATTCTTCACTGTAACATTACCATATTTTCCCCTTTGGAACTAATAACAATGGGGAGATTTGCTGAGACTACGTAAGTACGCCGCTTGTCTTCAAATTCTGCCCAGTGGTTTTAGGATCTATTGATGAGTCTTATCCAAGAGCTGCTAGGATAATTGCAAAATGGTGATTTCTTCAACATTATTTCTTCAGCATTTTAAAAACTCTATTAGGTCATTAATACAAATGTCCATTCGAAGAAAAGTGTTTATTATATCTCAAAGAAGAGCAGAATTAAGCAAAGTATGCGCCCAAACCTTTGACACAGTTTTGCCATCTTAACAGCACTTGTTTATGCAGCAGCGAAGAAGCCTGGAGAGCGAGTGGCAGAAATCACAAAGGCATTTCCCACAGCTGTTGAAAGTTGAATGTTTTTCTTGCAAAGAAGTGTCCAAAGCCTGGAAGAGGTATCAGTTGCTGCAAGTCTGTGAATACGGTGAGTGACAGAGAGTTTCTAAGTCTAGCCTCCAGTGTTGTTTGTGCGACAAGTGGTTGAGCATTGTCTCACAAAGAGGATTGGCCTGTCTGTACTGACAGTCTTGGCTGCTTAATCGCAAGCATCCTCAACATGCCATCCACTTGGTTGCAGTAGACATCTGCTGAATTGAGCAGGTTTCTTGAAGGCTGTAGTGGACTAATACAGTGCTGCACCATCAAACACACACCATTAGCTTTTTTGATGAATTTTCAGTTTTGGACTGTGTCTCAACACTTTATCCAACCATTGTGCTGAACACTTATGATGTCAAGAGAGAATCCATTTTCATCACACATCACAATTATGGTGTAAAAGTCGTCTGATTTTATGTCATGACAGCAAAAAAAGGTAAGCTTCGAGATGATTCTCTTCTGACAACTATTTTGAGACAATCTACTTGTTGCCAGGCTAGAGTGAGTGCCGGCTCAGCCTGGCTCACAGCAACCTCAAACTCGCTGGTCTCAAGCATCCTTCTGCTCAGCCTCCCGAGTAGCTGGGGACACAGGAATGTGCCACCATGCCCGGCTATTTTCTCTATATATATTAGTTGGCAATTAATTCTTTTATTTATAGTAGAGACGGGGTCTCGCTCCTTGCTCAGGTGGTTTTGACTCCTGACCTCGAGCAACGCCCGCCTCGGCCCCTCCCAGACGGACTATGGATTACAGCGTGAGCCACCGAGCCGGCCTGATGCTTGTTTAATTCATGTGCAGAACCATCTATCCAGCTTCTTTGCCTTGCTGATTTGTTTCCAGATTTGGTCCAATATTGGTTGAATGGCCAGTCAAACCTTGCCTGCTAACTCACGCACAGGTTGAGATGGATTCACTTCCACTACAGCTGTCAGCTGATCATTACCACTTTGGTCTCAGGTCGCTCTTGCATGGCTCATTTTCAAGATTAAACTCACCAGAATGGAGCTTCTCAAACCATCCACATACTGTCCGTTCATTAGCTCACATCCTTCCCCAAACACTTCATTGATATCTCAAGCTGTCTGCAATGCATTAGTTCCATGACGAAACTCACATTCAAAAATAGCATGAATTTTTGACTTACCCATGGTTTCACAGAAATTCCCTAAAAAAATTCGACAGATAACCACAAGCTAAAATGTGCATTTGAAAGACTGAGGATGTACCTTCCACATTAAATAAAACAAGAACTGTAAAGTGAAATGTCAGAGATATCAACTGTCAAAATTTAATACTTAAGGAAATTGGACATTTCATACTTAATATGAACAATTTAATTGGAAAAACTAAAGGAACAGTACTATAAACATCAGCATAGCCACACTTGATGTAAAAAAAATTTTTTTTTTGAAACAGGATCCAGCTTTGTCACCCAGGCTGGAGTGCAATGTTGCCAATCATAGCTCACTGCAGCCTCCAACTCCTAGGCTCAAGGGATCCTCCTGCCTCAGCCCCCAATGTAATAGTAGGACTACAGGCATGCACTACCATGACAGGCTAATTATTAAAATTTTTTGTAGAGTTGAGGTCTCGATATATTGCCAGGCTGGTCTCCAACTCTTGGTCTCAAGTGATCCTCCTGCATTGGCCGTTCCAAAATTCTGGGATTATAGGCATGAATCACCTGACCCCAAACAATTATTAATATTTTGCATATTTATTTTTCCATAGCTATATATTTTTTGCTGGATTAATTTGAAGTAAAATGCAAGATATCACAACACTTCACTCCTAAAGCTCCAGCCTGTCCTAAGAACAAGAATATCTCCACATAACCATAATCATGGTATGTAGGAGAAAATGAATAATTATTTCCTACTGCACCTAATAGCTGATCCATATTCAAATTTTCCACCCATCATCCCCCTAAATGTGTTGTACATCTGTTTTTTCAACTGGATCCAATTAAATTTTACACATTGCACTTGCCTATTGTGTCTCTTTAGTCTTTTTTAGATCTAGAATAATCTCCCCATCGAAGGTACTGACTTTGGAAGAAGCTGTA